GCCCTTCTCTGCCTCCCGCTGCCTCCTCTCCCTTCTTGGAGCCCTGTTTGACGCCGCGCACGCCTGTGGCTCCTGGATGAGCAGGGATCCCTTCGGGGCCAACGGGGCCCCTTGTCCTTCCCAGCACTCGGATCCTCTTTCCGAGCCCTACGCTGGACCATGCAGTGCATCCGGAGGCAGCCCAAGCGCAGCGTGTCCCAGGAGAACATCCTGCGGGAGCAGAGCCGTAGAGTGGCCGCGTTGAATGGCATCAGGCTGGGTAAGGGACACGTTGGCCAGACCCTCAGCACTTCCACATGCTGGCAGCCTCTTCGTTTCTGCCTCTTTTCCCTGCGCAGAAGCAGCACTCCACCCTAAAGGCAATTCCAAGGTTATTTTTATACTCTTGAGGTTTTTTTTTTCCCCTTTCTTTTGCCTGTAACCGCCTTCCAGATGTGCAAACCGCTTCGTATGAGGCATCAAAGAAAGCGGGACCTCTCTGGCAAAGGGTGGGTTTGAACCTTTCTTGCTGGGCTTTGAGTTGTTGCTGGTGTGAGGATGGCAGTGGCCCCTTTCCTGCCTGATTTTAGGGCTTCTGGGTGGTGTGGTGCCACTCAGAGGTTTGCATTCACCAGATGAAAAGAGACAGGAAATCCAGGGAGTTTCATAACTCCTGTGGCTATGAACTCATGGCTGGTTCCTGCTTTCTGGAGGGACAGCCCATGTTGATACAAGTTCTTGATTTACGTGGCTGCAGAGAGCAGGTGGAAATGGAAAACAGCCATTTTCCCACTGGAATTGTTGGAATCTAATCAAGCAGATGGGAGAGAGAAGCAGGAGGAGGAAACTTGCTTTATTGCAGTCGTAATTAATGTTATCGGATCAGCAGGTTTGAGAGTGAGCAACACAGCACTACAGATTGTTGCTGTCACCTGTAAACATCATCCTAACTACCTCCTTAGTGAAGCTGGAGTCAGGCTGCTGCTGTGACAGCTGCTGTGTTGTTGTGTTCTCCACTTGCTGTATACCTTAGATGCATTATACCAACCTTCATGTTTTTGATCTCTTGGTGTCTACAGCTTCACAGTGCAGGACATAAGCTTCATGCTGGCTGCAGTGCTGAGCATGCCTAAGGCTTTCCTACCTTTGTCAGATGCAATTTTCCCTCTAAACTGTACCGTACACTGAGTATATTCTGTTTAGAAAATATGTGATTGATGTTGTTTGAGGACTGGGGCCTGACCCTTGAAACACATACTGCAATTTTCTGTGACAAGTGTGTATTTGGTATTTTGCAGGTTCTGAGCAAGATACAGCCCTGCCACATATTTCAGGCATGATTTGGACATTGATTTCAGTGTGGCAATTGTTTTTCTCCTGCCCTACATTGTTATATAATTGCAAACCAATATCCCTGTTCCGCTGCACAGTGTTTTTGGAAGCTTTAAATGACATGTGTATATGACAACTCTGGTTCCTTTCATATAGAAGTTTCCATTGCTGTGAGACAGAGTTCTGCAGAGCAAACCTCATCAGCTCCCTGGGGATACTTGGCAGAAATCCCCAGGGATTGTTTGGGCATAAAAACTGAAATGAAGGAAAGCTCTGCTGGGAAAATATGTTTTTTTTTTTTTTTTTTTTTTTAAATCTTTTCTGGAAAGCAATTCAAATGAACAACAGAGAGTAATGTCCCACTGACACATCAGGGTGCATTTGTGGTCCTGTATCAGCAGATCAGAGGATGCTGTACTCCTCTGACCTAACAAAACATTATCTGCCTCGTGGATAGAAATGAAGAAGCTCAGTGTCTTGACCAAGGCCGTTTAAAGAATCTGTGACAGTGCTTAGGACCAGGCATAGGAGACAAGGCCCTCCCCTGGCCCACTTTCCAGGACAGTTTGGCTGTCTGAGATACTGTTTGACAAATACAGAGCCATCCTGAAGCAATGTGTGCTCACCCAGTTGACTTGGGTTGCTTGGCCCTCCTTCTCCTGGGCACACCACTGAGTGGTTCAATCCAACCTTTGGGTCAGCGTTGGCAGAGGTCAACCCAGGGTGACTGCTTTATATCTGAAGGGCCCTGGAAGACTTCCAGCCCCCGACATTAAAGGAATTGTTGTGCTCTTAGGCATTCATCTTACCCTCTTGTCCTTCCCTGGCCAACCCCAAGAACTTCCTTACTTTAGTCTCCTTCTCTGGAGATATTCAAGACCCACGTGGACACCTTCTCGTGTGACATACTGCAGGGAACTGCTTTAGCAAGGAGTTGGACAGGGGGATTTCTAGAGGTACCTTCCAACCCCTACGACTTTGTGATTCTGTCACAGAGCCACCTTTTCTCCATCCCCTCCCTGGCTTCTCTTACTTCCTTCTCACTTGCACTCCATCTTGTACCTTACCTGTGTGAATCTAGCCTGAAGGAGACAAACCTGCCCTTGTTTTCTGCTAGTGGCCATGCAGATTTCCTTGTATGAGACCGATGCAGCTGTTTGCCCAGGTAGTATGACGTGTGATACATACTGCATGCAGTAGTGTAACAAAACGTGTCACAGTTAAAATGGATTTCTCGTAACATGCTTATGCACTTAAGCACCCAAAGGAATTATGGTTTTCCTGCTTTCCTGTTCATGCTTACCCTAGGATGGCATGTCCTCCTCATGGTCCCACAAGGATGCCTTGCATGGTTGGGGTCTGAGGGAGGACAGAGTGAGTCTGGGAGCCAGAACAGAAATTTTGTAGGTGAATACATAGGAGGAACTTTGTTCCCTCTCCAGGAACCATGAGAGCTACCATGGCAATGTTAGCAAAGCCTATCATAGCATCATTTGAGGTGGGACCTTTAAAGGACATCTAGTTTAACTCTCCTGCAAGGAACGGAATCATGTACAGCTCCATCAGATGCTCAAAGCCTGGTCCAGCCTGACCTTAAATGTCTCCAGGCATAGGGCATCCAACATCTCTCTGGGCAGTCTGTTCAAGTCTGTGACATCTCCTCTGTTCTTGAAAGACCTCCATCTCAGAGAAGAAGCCTGAACATTGCTGCTCAGGATACCAAGGCTTTGTGAGGCCTTTGTGGTGTCCTTCTTCTTGGCAATCTGGCCTCTTGTAGACCCATGGGTATGTCTAAACCTCAGGAAACCCAAGAGGGAATTAATTGAGCAGGCACTTAATTACTGAGACAGCTAATTGAATGTAGAGGAGGCAAAGAGGCCACAGCAACCTTTCAAGGATCTCCAACTTCCACAATAGTGCTTTCAATTCTGGATGGCTCGGCTGGGCTCAGCCCCAGACTTGCTCCTTGGTGTTGGCAAACCCAATTGAAGTGGCCTGAGCTGCTCAAAGCTGTGCTGAGCACAGGACACCCTTATATTTCTCACTGTCAGAGTTGTCAGGCTCTTTCCCAGCCTGAAATACATTCTTTAGGCCAAGCTGTTCTAACTAAAAACACACAACGCTGCTTTTTGCTACAACCATTATGATCCACCTTGGTGCTCTGCAGCCCCAGGCACTTAGCTTTCGTGTATGAATTATCAGGAACTTGGGGTTTGGCAACTTGGGTCTCCTAGGCTTGGTAGTTCAAGTAATGCTTGGTAGTTTATTTGTTTGCCTTGTTCAAATAGCAGCTATTCAGGGCAGTAATGTCTTCCAGAGAGGGGCAAAGACAGTGATATGGAAAAATGCCACACTGCAATGTAAATGTTATTGCATAAATCAGTTAACTTGGATTTCTATCCTGTGAGCGTTGGGAAATTTCCTGTGATGGGAGTGTTGGGTGGCTGCAAGTGGCCAAATAGTTATTAATGAGAGTCTCATCTGCACTGTCATGATAAGGTTGGCAAAAGTCACGCTGAGTTGGGATGTGCTTGCTCAGTACTACAGAGTAAAAGCCTTTGATGCAATGACAGAGGTTTAATAGGCAAGGTGCCTATTACAGAAAGCCCAGGGTGTGTTCCTCATGCTTCATTCTCTTGCCCACCTCTGCCACTTCACCCACTCTTGATCTCTAATTAATGGCTTGTTTGAGGCACAGAATCTGCAAGGTATGTCGGTATGTGGAAGTCAGCTATTGCTGAGACCTTCAAAACCAGGCAGAATGGAAAATGTGTGTTTTCAAAGCCTCAGTAGATGCCTGCTTCTCCTCTAGATATCAAAGTGCCTTCCTGAATCTAGTCTAAGATCTAGCCTTAGCCCAGAGTTAATCTCCGAAGTTCCTGGGACCAGAAGGGGACTGCCTTTCAGAGAGGGAAGGGAGACACTGTGTGTATCCTGTTTCTGTGAAGGAAATTTGTTCAGAATAAAGCTGAAATCTCTTCAAAAGTCACAACAGTACTCCAGTTACAAGTTACACAACTTTCCTTCCTCTGCTTTTACCGCTGTATTGTTCTTTTTACTGCTTTTGCATGCTAATTATATCTGCTGGGAAGAAGATATTTTATGCTTGTGAACCACCTGAGAACAGATTGCCCAAGGAGGTTGTGGATGCCCCATCCCTGCAGGCATTCAAGGCCAGGCTGGATGTGGCTCTGGGCAGCCTGGGCTGCTGGTTGGTGACCTGCACACAGCAGGGGGTTGGAACTGGATGATCATTGTGGTCCTTTGCAACCCAGGCCATTCTATGTTTCTATGATTCTGTGATTCTAATTATACTTAAGTCTTCGGACTCAATCTGAGAAGTCCACAAGGCTACAGTCTCTTTTATGAACGTAGAATGTGACACAACACAGCAGATTTCTGGGTCCCTCTACCCTGCTGTTCTCCCTAGAGCTGGCTGCACTGCAGGTGGTTTGTTTTTGTCTCTCACTATTGTTCTGTGGCAGTGAAAAACCTATTTACATTATTATTGTATGTACAGAGGGTGGACCAGGCTCTGAGCACCCTGATCAAGCTGTAGGCGTCCCTGTTCATTGCACAGGAGTTGGACTAGCTGACCTTTAAAGGTCCCTTCCCACTCAAATAATTCTGTCTCTATGACTGTTTCTTTTGCTGACTCTTGTGGCATTACCACTACTGTTTCTCCTTAGGCTTGAAAGATGACAAGGACCTGAAGTTCCTCTTGAAAGGCAGCCAGCTGCTAAAAGTGAAGTCAAGCTCTTGGAGGAAGGAGCGGTTTTATAAGCTCCAGGAGGACTGCAAAACCATATGGCAGGAATCAAAGAAGATGCTGAGGTCTCCAGACTCACAGATCTGTAAGTAAAGTTCATACCATCACAGGCATAGGGCACTGACTGCCTGGGGCCAACCAGGACCATTATGAACTAGAACCAGGGGTTCTTGGGGTAAACCAGAGCCAGGACCATTGCACAGTGTGCATAATGACATGGAACCATGAGACCAGATCCTTCACACATCCTGTATCATACACTGAGTTACGCTGTCTGCTCTGAACACAGCTAGGAAGAATCAGGAATGTCAGGAATGGTCACATTTCCCAAGCTCATGAGCTACTGCTCAAAATTGTCATGGGGCAGAACAACAGGAACCACAGGGTGCGACATGGCGTGGTGTGACAATGGAAGTGCAGGGAAAAGCACACCAACAGCAGTTGGCACCCAGCTGTCCCACTGCTGTGTGGGATTATCACAATGGGACAGCTGGCTATGCTGGGTTCAGCAGCCCTGCCTGGCTTATTTCTTCCCCAGAGTACAAGTTCAGGTTATTCAGGTGTCTCTGTGGTTGTACTTGATTCTCTAATGCCCTAGTGCTCAGTGTGAGACATAGGTTGAGCATCCATGGCATGGTATGGTGCACTTTGGCAGTCAGTCTGGACAACTTATCTTTGCACAGCCTTTGCGAATGCATCGTGCAGTGCAGGTCAGTAATTATGTCTCATGAGGAAACCACAGAGATGTGGAGATTCAAGGGCTGTCAAGAGATATCTTTGGGAAGGAAAACCTTTTCCCATCCTTATCTTGGGAAATCAAAATCTGCCCCCATTGCAGAAAGCCCGGATATGACAGTCAGTAATGTATGGGCACAGGAAAGCCTATCTATACCAACATCACCCATCTTGGAGCCATAACTGGGACCAGGAGCCTCCTGGTCATGATGTCAAAGTAGAATCAGGCAGGCTATCTATCCATTTGTTTTGTTTTCCACCTCATTTGGTGTTTTTCTGACATATTTGCTCTGTCCCTGATAATCACGGTCTGGTAAAGCCAAGAGGTAAATGAATAACATGTAACACATTTTATAGCATCTTGAAACGTGAAATACTGTCTGCACTATTTACACAGTTGTTTTTGTAACAGTCACAACTAACTACATGAAGAGTCTTCCCACAACCCACAGATGATAATGAGGAGTAAGGCAGTAAAGCAAAATATGTTTGCTTTACTACCAAACTCTTCTTAAGTGACCCTGGGCAGTTCATTCCCCACACATTTCCTTTTTGCTCATCTATCCAGCAATAAAAGGCTTTGGATTAGAAACCTAATCCTTACTGTGTGTCCTGAGCTCAGCTGAACTGCTTAGGTACCAATACATTAACCCATAATGACAACAATTAATGCAAAGGCCCTAGGGAACATTTGCTTGTAAGGAATGCGTGTGCCATTGAGCTCTGTCTCATATAAAAGCAAAGTCCTTTCTCAGATTATGTCTTGCTACAAAACAAACAAGGGTGTGAATGGAGAAGAATGGAAACTTTGGAACTTTAATTTTTGTGCTCTGAGCCAGCAGTTTCCAAATTATAGAGTCTGAGAGCACCTTCAGCAGCTGTCCCAGTCCCATCCGATTCCCTAAAGTGAGTGGGTGGGATCCTTGTGCCGTGGCTGCATGGGCATTGAGGCTTGCTTGGAGAGGCTCTGGTTGATCCTATTCTCTCCATTGCTGATTATATATTGTGTTCCTCTTAGCTGGGTGTTGGGCACAGGCTGGGAGTGTGTCAGTGTGGATGTGGATTTACACCAATCAAGATACACTTTGCTAACTGGGCACAGCTAGCATTGCCACACTTGGGGCAATCCCACATGCTCCTGAAGGGGCATGCACTTCCTGCTGGCAGTTGTGATGCAAGCTTATGGGAACACTGGAGGGCCACCTTGGAGTGCTTTCAAAAGCACTGTGGATATGCCTGAACCTGGCAGTGATCAGGAGAAATGAGCCCTGGACTGATGCTCAGCCCCCAGCCACAACCTCAAGACCATCTGTTTTCCCATTTCTTTCTGTTTGTCCTCTGAGACCTTCCATCCCCAAGTTTTCAGTGTGACTGCTGTGTTTGAACTCGTTTCTTGGGCTTCTGATTTCACCTGATTTGTGTTTAGTTACAGAGGGGATTATCCCAGCTTCGAGCTGTGACCTCTGGCAGGTTCTATTGCTACAGCTGCCTTCACTTTTGGCTTGAGATTTGCAGGTGGTCAAAAGACAGAAGAAGAGTGCAGGATTGTTGATTTGATACTCAAAAGGCAGGGACTGCGAGGCGAGTCTCTCCAGAAGGTTACCCTTCCTTGTTAACAGACAGCAACCTTGCACTCCAGTGCAAAGCCTTTGTAAAACTGATGATAAGCTGCCTTTTTAGGAAGGAAAAAGAATGAGCAAAGTGGAAAATGGGAGATTTGAGCACCAGGTCTAATCTTATCTGCGGCAGAGCTCACAGCAGGAAGATGGAGGCACCTCAGAAGAGCAAAGTCTGGATAGGGTAAGGGTTATACTTTTGTGTTTGGTCAGTTTCCTGTTATTCCTGTTCCTATAATCAAGCAGAAAGGCTGTTTGTAAACCATTGTATGGTGGTGCCTGTAGGAGATAAAACCAGGGATCTCTAAAGTTAGATTAAAAAAAATCTCAGCTGAATGAATTTAAGAAAAACAGCAACATATCAGGGCTGTCACAGGCACAGATGTTGCCTGGATGAGATATGTGGTGTACAACCATTACCTTCCTCTGTTGTCTTTTATTTTAAACAACTGGAAATTCAGATTGGATGCTGTCTTGATATCTCTGTTACCCACAGGGCTTTCCGGGGAATAGGCTGCCATTCCAGCATGGTTGCTACATAAATAGGACTTAATCCATTTATTCTGTATTATCTATAATTTGCTAATTTTCAGTATGTTCTATTTAGGCACAGGAGAGCCTCTAACAACAGAGTTCAAGTGGCAAAATTAGCAGTTTGGGGCAATAGAAATGGCTTGCGCCTGGTGGCTTGTGGATGGCTGGTGCAATCAGTGCCAGATCCCTCCTGAACATCATTGCAGTGGGAGAGAAGGAAGCCATTGGGGGTAGAGGGATTTGCATTCAAAGAGCAGCAACCCATCAGTAACGCTGTCTTGCTTAGCTTGGTCAGATCATCAGGTCTCACCTCCATATGAGAAAGAACAAAATGCCATGTGCTGCTTTCAGTGAAAGTGATCATTGGAACTCTTCTTAAACCGGCTGAAATCCCTACTGTGAGCTCCCTTGAGCCAGACTTGATCCCTTTAAAAACTCTCTGAACTTGAGGATTTGTAGGGATGGTTGAAAACTTTCCAGTGAAACATCCTGATGAGCGCTTGGTGGAAAAACCAGAGAACTGAAAGGCACGGGGAAAAGGCTGACTGAGTGGGTACAATTCAGGGATGTTATAACAGGGCTCAGAAGGGGAAGGGGCTTTGCTACCTCCTGCAACCTCTTTCTGTTTGATGGAGGCTCAGAGAGGTGATGCTTCCCATGACAGCCATGAGCGACCATCGCACGCTGCGCAGGGGATGACTCACTGGGGGTGCTCTGTGAGTCACGAGCCGTGCAATCAAGAAACAAGTTTATGAGTTTTGGCTCAGATATTCCCATTTCTAGCCAGAATGCTATTTAGTGTTGTTGTTTTGTTGTGGCTTTTTTTTTTTCTTCCCTTCTGTTTTGGTTAAAAAAAAAATCAGGTTGGGAGCAAATTACCTGGAGGTGTTTAAGGCCAGGTTGGATGGGACAGTCTGATCTAGTGGCTGGCAGCCCTGCCTGTGGCAGGGGGTTGGAATCCGATGATCCTTCAGGTCCTTTCCAACCCAAGCCATTCTGTGATTCTATGACTCAATTTACAGAGGTGAGCTAAATTCAGTTGCACAGCTGTTTAAATGAAGGTTGTAATACTGCATGAAGGCGTAAAATCGATATTTGGATCTGACAATTCACAGTATTAAAAATGCACTGAATTTGTTCCAGTCCTTCCCAGTTCCAGTTTTTATATGGCTTAAACACAGTACAATTTAAAAATACATTTATAGCCTCCTACCAGTGTTTGTCAGAAAACCTTTCCCTTCATTTTTGAGTTCCTGTGACATTTAGTAACACCCTTAACACACCACTTGACGAGCATCCCATGCTGTTCTTGTGGATGGATGGACGATTCCCTCCATTTAATTAATTACCTCACCTTGCCTTTAGGAGAACAGAAGGGATGTGATATTTCTGAGCTTACTCATGTCAAGAAGTGAAAAGTTTAAATTGTTCCTGTGGATCTGATAAGTGCCAAAAGCCAATAGAAACTCTCAGCAACCTGCATGCACGCAGCAGGCAGCTGGCTGCACCAGCAGCTTCCTCCTGGGGTTGGTTGGGTGCATTCTCTAGGTCTGATCATTGCTTCGTGCTCAGACACATATTTGTCCCTGGAAAAATATTTGCTGATGTGAATCTGTTATGCAAGGCAGCCATCAGCTGTGGAAACAAAACCGTCTGTCTGTGGGTCTCATTAGTTTTTATCAAAATCATTCAACCCATAAAACAAGTCACTTTGATTGCAGAACTGCCTGTTGGGTTTTTTTTTTTCCTAATTTAATTTAATTTTAAATCAGGCCACCACATGAGTTTCTGGGGCAGTTTTCAACATAGGCTGTCTTCTAGCAACTACTGACCTTATTCTCCACAGCATATGTTAAATGCAAAGGTGGAAGCGTTGAAAGCCTCCGATCCAAATTTAGTGGCACTGTAATGGCATGAGGAGTAGGAACTGGTTGCAAAAATAGTTTGCAGGGACCTGCTTGTGACGTCTGGAAGGAATGTAAATACAGATCACTCTATTTACATCAGCACCCCTAGCTATGTTGGTTATACAGAAAGGCTGGGTTAAGACCTTTTATTAAAAGATATTTCCAAACAACTTGTAACATCAGTTGTGCGCTGTGTATTGTCAGTTGGTGACACAAACCAGCAATAAGAGCAGATCTCAAGTTAAACAATGTGCTCAGCAAGTCAGGGAGAGGGGAGAATGGATGAGGAGTCAGCAGTTGAGAGCTTGGGTAATTCAGGCATGGGGAGAAGAGTGGGCAGTGTGGTCAGGGCTAAGAAGGCACAGAACAACAGGACCTGTGCTGAATACTTGTGTGAAAGCATCCATCAGTGATAAGGGTACTGGATAACCTTTGGTATTCCCAATCCAGGGAGCTAATTACAAAGGTCCTGATTCTACCACTAGCATCAGTCACCAATGGTGAAGCTAAAAGCAACTACAGCGCTTTTTCTGGGGCAAAACCGGGGAGAGAAGCAGCACATCGTGCCAGTTTACCCCATGTGCTCACTGCAGCCACCCAGCAGTGCAGTCCTGGAGTCAGGACCTTTGTATGTTTTTGCAGGGTGCTGACCAGACGTGGCTGAGTTCTGGCTGGGCTTGGGCTGGAGGTCTGGTCTCTTTGCAGACAAGCAGTGTTGTGTGCAAATATGCAGAGAACTATGAACGGCTCAGTACATTTCTGATCTGACAGTAAACAGTAGTGACTCAGTGAGACAATTAAAGTGGGATACAGTAATTCAGTGTGACTGAATGCCACATTGCAGAGATCACTTGTTAATGAAAGGGAAGTAGGATACGGAAAGTGAAGGATATAAAGGGCCCCCAGAATGACAAATATTGTCCCCCTCCTCTTACAAGTAACTCAAGGCCAGCTGTTTTGGCAGTTCCTCTGAGTGTCCATACATTGACCCTCATCTCTTTGTCAGCAAAAGTACAAGGAAAGAGAAGCAACTTGCTGTCCTTTTGCTTTGCATGCTTAGCTTGCAGGAGATGCAGCTTCAGTTCCTTACCCTTCTTTTCTGTAAAACTTTTGTCTTCTGTTCTTCCTTTTTCTGTATTGTTTGGGATTAACAAAGTGTCCGTGCTCCCAGCACAGTCTTTCAGAGCAATGACTGGAGAAGAGATGGACATTGCCTCTGGAGCAGAAACCAGTGTTCAGGGTTCATCTCTCAGACTAATGCTGCAATCATACAGTGCCTTGTCATGCTTGTATGGCTCTTCAGTGTTTATATTTTTGGCTACCAAGTGGCCTGCTGTGCATACATGTGGCCTTAGGCATTCCCAAGACCTAGCATCTCTGGGTGCTGTTTGTAGGGTGATGGCCCACAAATGGCCTAGCCTGCTGCATGGGTGCACGGGGCTGCAATCCTTGCTCTGAAATGGATTTGAGAGCACCTTATAGAAGATGGTGGGGCCAGCCCAGGTCCTGGTGGGAGGGAGGAGAGGAGCCTTGCTTGCTCTGTAGGGGAGAAAATGGCTTTAGGGTCTGGGAGAGCATTTGGGTCAGGTGGAGACAGAGGTGAGGCTCCATGCTACTCAGCTGTGTTGGACCTCACATCTGTGTGAGACAGAGAGGAGTGATTTCACCAGCTCCAGGGAATGTTGGTGTATGTTTGTGTGAAGAGGGAGCTGCGGCCATCAGCTGTGGTTCATCACATTGGCACCCACAGCAGCCAGGAAGGCTGACCAGGATGTAACCTGTTGGACTCCGTGCTGGGAGGTCAGGAAGGACACCAGTTCCTTGTGTTGAGTCACAGGTTTTGGGCTTCACACAAACCATCTTTTCAGCAGACATAAACGCTCAGGAGAAGCAGATGCAGACTTTCCAAATTCTCTTCTTTTGGTGGTTACCTCCCCACTGTGGAGTGTTGGAAAGGATGGGGAGGTCACAGAAAGATGCATTTGATGGGTGTTTGCTGCAACTGCTCCTCTCCTGAAAAACACTTCTCTGTCCCCCAGTTATTTCTAATTTCTCCTTGGTTTGGGACTGCTTAAAATAGTGTGCTCACGGCCCAGGAGCAGCTGATAATGCATTCATGCAGGCTAAGATTTTCCAGAAAAGAGATAACATTTGCAGATGGCTTGGGGCTGACTCCTTTGGTTTTGGCTTTTATGTTGATAGACGAAAGCAGTACACAAGCCCAAACTGTGGAAAGCTTTAAAAAGTGTCCTCCCTGTTTGTTTGGGTTTTTTTTAACAGTTCCTGCATTGGTAGCTTCTCTTGGCTCTTGTGTGACTGCAGTAGGTACTGATCTTGTTCTTCAGGCTTCCTTGTACCTTTTCTGCATGAAAGAGCTTCATGCTCTTCATCATCCTCTCCCCAGTAATATACCCCATGGAGATTAAGGCAGCTCTTCCAGCTACAGGTTTTCAGTTTCTTTTCCCTCCCACACAGCTCTCTCTCTCTTTTTTTTTTTTTTTCCAGTAGATTCACTTTGCCAGATAAAGGTTTCCAAAGAATACATTCTAAATTTCCAATATTTAACATCAGATTTTCTAGTCTTGGAAACACTAGATCATTGCCAACCCAAAGTTTAGGGATTGATTGCACTAGCAGACTAGCTAGCCAGTCTGAAAGGACAATAACTTTTATGAGCCAAGCAGTGGTGAGCAGTTGGCAGGTGATGAGGAACAACAGGATGATTCCTCCACTTGCGCTGCCTTAACCAAGAGAGACCAGAAGTGGAGGAGGATCACCTACTTATGGATTGTCTGCATGGCACACATCTGCATTTGAGATGCTCAGTCTGAGCTTCTTTTTTGGTCTAGGATCCACTGTAGCCACGGATTAAAGCTTTGATTCATCTCACCCTAAAAAGTTTGTTTCTAGATGGGGCAAAATATTTATGTTCCAGAAGTTTTTGGTTTTTTTCCCCATTAGGGGGAAAGGAGCCAAAGCTTTAGATATATTTTGACTGAATCCCACTGAACATGATGGCGTCCCTTACAATGAAGGTGTAAGATGTACTGTGCTACCTAAGGTACACTTCCTGTTATTTGCCTGATGATTCCTGTCATTTGCCTGTTAATGAGCAAATTCACCAGCAAGGCTCTCCACTAGCAATCCAGCTGCAAGAGAATTGAAGCACTCTTCTCTGAAGATTATTTTAGCACTCAAAACCATAAGCTTTCACTCAACAGTAAGTTGGCTAGATAATGTAATTCCACAGCAGCCCATCCCATCCCCTCCCATTTCATCCGAACACAACCCAACTTAACTCTTTCCTCCTCTGCCCTCTGTCTGATCCACTGTTGGCCTTTACCAAGTGATAATAACAGACCACACAAAGATAATTGCTTATCATCAGGAAGGAACATTGCCAGTTCTAGGAGGGGTCTCGAGGCATGTTCTGGCATGGAAACCAAGTCAGCGAAGTGTTATGGAAGACGTTGGACCACCCCAACACATGGTTGGAATTTAAAGCAAATGTTAAGTGTTGGTTTTGGACAGTCACGAATTTTTGAATTGTTTGTAAGTCTATGGTATTTTTGTTACCTCGTCAGCTGAGTATTGCTGTTTCTCCTTGAGGAGAAAAGGAGAATTTCAAATTCTAATGAGCATCTGATCAATTTAGTGTGGTCCCAGGGCAGACATGCTATAACTGCACAGGGTGGACACTGAGCTGTTTATTTCTGCGGTGTTGACTTTGAGTGAACTGAGCACTGTGCCAGTGAAATGGCACCAATTTAAATGAAGGCTCAGGTAAAAGGGATTTGGGGTGTAAGCTTTTTTTTTTCAGCTGAGTAGTGGTAATATTTTACATTCTCATACTACTTTTCAACAAAGCTCAAAGACAAGCGCAAACAAGATCAATCTCATACCTGCATGGCAAAGGAAATAGATTTTACCCATAGTTAACAATTTGAGGTAGGAATAATTTTAAACCCACTTCTTTCAAATTCATTGGGAAGAGCAGTATAGGGTTGTCTCAGTTACTTCCTTTTGCTTCACACTGTGTCTTGAAGGTTTTGGGGGTGCACATGGTGAACCTGGTGTGACTTCAGAGCATTACGTGATGGTCAGAGATGGGAATGGGGAGGAATGGGTTTGAAAGCCCATATTTTGCTTTCTTACAGCAAATAGGATCAAATTGACCTTTGGCAGAGGTGTGGATGGAGCACAGTTGACAGCAAATTGCCCTAAGTCTTTGGTCTTTTTCTCCCCAGTTTATACTAGTGTGGCTGAGAAGAGTATATAGGATTTTAGGTGTTACCTTTTTATTTTTTGCAAATTGAAGAGTGACCGTTTCAGTCCATGCCCTGCTTTTACTGAAGTCACTCCTCATTTTCCTGTGGACCTTTAGACTTCTTTGTTTCCAGTTCTGGAAGGAGAACAGCTGAAGGTTATTTGATAGATGGGGTGAGATCATGTTGGTCATGGTCCTAAGGTCTTTAGAGGCAAAGATCAAGTCAGGGATGCTTCAGGGACTGGACCCAAAATCTTGACAGTGACTGGTACCTCATCAACGTGATATCACAGTATGGCACCCCTGCAAATTCTGCTTCTTTGTTAAATACATGTGAAAAGAACAAAGAGTTTTGATTTGTTTTTATGTTTCTTGCACATTTTGCTGCTTTTGATCTGAGGTTTCTTTAGCATTGAATTTGTGGAAGCTGGAAAAAAATCAAGAGAATCCTCCAGCTGTGGGAGGGAGAGGTTGCAGAAAAAGGAAAAAGAGTAATTTCTTAAAATCCATCACTAGGCAGAGATAAGGGTGAGCGAACCCCTGCCGACAGCAAGCTCTGTTTTCTTTCCACAGTCTCTATTGAAGATATTCGGGATGTGAGGTCAGGCCATAAAACAGAAGGTATGGAAAAATACGCCAAGGATGTACCAGAGTATCGCTGCTTTTCCATCATTTTCAAAGACCAGCGGAAAAACCTGGACCTCATTGCAAGTTCAGAGGATGATGCCAACCACTGGGTCTGCGGCCTTGGGAAAATCATAGCCCACAGCAACTCCATGAACCAGAAACAGAAACTCCAACAGTATCCTTTGCCTTGTAAAGCGATTAATTGCACACAAAGATGCACTTGTCTTTCTCTGTGGGTGGAGTTAGTCGTATAACCCAATTTTTTTACTACTGGCCCTGGACACTGAGTTTTCTCTCATCATTTTACTGATTTTGTACCTGGGCAAACTCCTTGGTGCTGTTTTGTTGGTTTTTTTTTTTCCTGTTCACAGTGATACATGCAAGAGTGGATTCAGGCTTCACAGAGCTCCTTAAGCAATGAATTGCTCCCTTCAGGGTGCTCCAGATAAAACAACCATTATTTTTTGTGTTCTTCAGGGGTCTGTTTCACTTGCAATGCAGTTAACTCCAGGACAGGCACTTTTTGGCAAGGCATGAAAGGCCCATACTGTTTATCATGTTTCGCAGTAATATCAGGCGAGGGAACTGATTCTTCTCTTCTGTCTGCCAAGTTTACTCCAGGGTAGCTCCACTGACTTGAGCGAAATTACCCCTTGTTTGCCTCAGCATGGGAGGAAGTTTTGCCTTGAAAGAGGCTGCAGTTGCTTTAGGGACAGCTCAAGACAAGGAAGGGAAGGGGAAAGAAAGAAAGGGGAATGAAAAGAAAGGGAAGGGGGAAGAAAGGAAGGAAAGGGAAAGAAAGGGAAGGGGTCAGTTGTATGAGGAGAATGAATTAGTTAGAATGAGATCCTGGCTTTGCTCAATTCACAGGGAATTTTCCCCAGGGCTGAATTTCACTCAGTAAATTAATTGCATCCATATGAAAACAGTCTATCTGTGGGTGTAGTTTTTGTTCGGTTTTCTGCAGTTCCTGTGTGTCTGAGGCCCTGACTGTAACATATGAACCTGCTGGCTGATTTCACCCTGATTTGACAGAGCAGTGGTGGTTGTGAAATATTAAGCTGCCTTAAGCTTCACAAAAACAGGCATCCAGCTATCAGAGAGGAAAACAGATAGCACTTGGCAGTGAGGGAAGGCTGTGTGAGCTTCATGCCTGTTTTGACATCAAAGAGACCGTGCAGACGAGGGGCGATGTGAAGTTGTCAGCAGGGGAAAATCACAAAGCTGGAGACTGAGCAGGCACCAGGGGGCCTTTCCCTCAGCCAAGGCTTCCTCTGTGTGGGCTCCCTGCTAGCTAATAATGTAGTGATGATGAGGGAAATGGCACAGAAATGCTGAGCTTTCATCAGGCTTTACTCTTCTGTGGATTCTCTGAAGTATGAAGTTGTGGCACTGAGGGACATGGTTTGTAGGTATGCTAAGGATGGGTTGTTGGTTAGGCTTGATGACCTTTGTGGTCTTTTCCAACCTCAGTGATTCTGAGTTTAACAAGCACCTGCACCACCAGAGTGCAGCTTGTTTGAAGGAGTCAGATTCCACTAATTCTGATATGAGCATGATGGTGTTCATGGTGGCAGGGTCACTTCCCAGGCAAGTTGAAATCTTGAAGCTTCGCTGCTGTTGGAAATGTTAGACTCTGTTGGTTTTCCTTCTGAATGTGAAAGATGCTTCCACTCCATGGTATATGGGGAAAATCTGGGCCACAGAAACCTGTCCCTATTGCTGAAAAACTTCCCTGTAAGAAGAAATCAGATTGCTAAGGTGTGAGGGGGAAATAACAATAGCATTTGCAAGGAAAGAAAGCTGTAAATTTCCAGTGTGGAAAAGTACCTCTCCGACTCTGGAAAGCAGAATTGGAGCTAAATGGGGTTGGTAGGCAAGCCGTATTTCTGGAAGAGTAATTACTGTGTGGTCCTGGCTTCCAATCTGGGATTGTCTCAGGTCGTTTAACGTAACCTGGAATTACAGAACAGCATGATTTCTCATTTGAAATTTGATTATGCTTAATTAAAGCCTGAGATTTTAAATTTAGCCCATCTTCACTGGGTTTGCTTGGCAGCGTGGGTTTATTCACATCTTCCTTAAACCTCAGAAGTGTTCTCTGCATCTGTGAGCACAGAAGGGGAAGAGGCAGTGGAGAAGTGCTGCATCCCCTGCCTGTCCCCCATCCATCACTGCAGAACTGCTGTGCAGTGGATCTTTTCCACCCTTAGAAACCTTGCAAAGCGGATAAGGAATGAGTGAGATTTTGAAAACGAGTATTGAAAGCAAAGACTGTGATTGTTGCAGGTGGGGTTTGTTTGGCTTCCTTTAGAATGGAGGTGCCTGAATTTGTGTGTTATGTGTCCTTTCCAGTCCTATACACCTATAAGGTAAAACTTCTGCGTGCTTGAAGAGTATTTCTGATGTTCTTGCACATACAGTAGTGTTTTAGTAAGCCTCAGATTCAGCCCTCAACTAGTTGGCATAGGTTTTTTAGCAAATACTGTAGGTATGTGTGCATGGATGACTTTAGGCCAGAAAACACAGGGGGCTTTTCATTTGAGTGGTGTGGCACAGTCTGCTTCATTTCTGGGATTTGTATATGAGCTTTTCTTCTGGTTAGGAATAGCTTACCAGAAGTTCTGCAGCATTTCTTTTCAAGCACATTCTTGGGATATCTGCCAGATCGTTTCAGTCATTCTTCTTTGGTTTCTCATAGAAAGCTGGTAGTCCTGAAGCTGGCAGATCCTTTAAAAACAAGAAGCAGCCTCCTTCTGGAGGCATACCAGAATGAGAACGCTTCTTCCTTGTCCCCCCATGCCCAAATGAACGGAGGTGAGGTGAAAGGAAAACCCACAACCAGGGCTGCAAAATTGTGTTTGTGTCAGATAAGAAGAATTTCCTAGAGTTGTGCATCCCTTCTGTCTGTTATTTTAGGAAGTGTGTGAAGGGGAGCTGGAGTGCACGGATTGGGTGGGAATGGCTGGGAATGGTGCTGTTGGCACCATGTTGTCATATGCTAAGCAGATGCTCTTTGTGCACAGCTGGTGGGGTGGATGGTGTTGTGCTCTCAGCAGAACATCCCAGGAAGAGCTCACATAGGAGCTTCATGATTCAAACTTGGTTTTCTGGGGAACTCTCCAAGCCAGAACCTGGTTCAGGGCCCTGGAATATCCTTAGGAGTCAGAGGAAATGTTACCTCTATTTTCATTTCCATGTGTATGAAAGAGGAATATTACCAGGCTAAGAGAGATGCAGTGTGAGGTCATTTAGCATATGCCAAGATTTTTAAAGACATAAAGCTCAATTTTCCAAGAGACAGACAGAACTACCAACCACTTTACACATATTTCCAAGTGTTTGGAAATATTTGAATGCAATGGTAGTTGTTGGTGAGTACCCTCTTTCAGAGTTATATCTACAGCCCCTATAGGCTGTCACTCATCGCCTCATTTTGGAGATGATTTTGAAAGACCCAGATCAAATATTATGGCACTATGTGCCCCAGCTGTTGTTTGCTACTTCTGAAGATTATTTTGCTAAAAATCCATATTTATATCTTTTCTGGAATGAGTTTGGAGCAGTGCTTCCTATGCAAGCCATGAAAGGTTGGATTTATGGTGAACTAATTGTTATTTCAGTAATTTTTATGTAGAAAAATAGGATATTCTTCTGGATGGCCTTTGTTATTTGATAGTTAGAGCAAGTTAGAGAGATACAGTTGGCTTGATGGAAAAAGTTATTTTTTAATTTGTTTTTTTGTTTGTTTGTTTAAAACTCCAGGTTATCTCAACTACCTGACATTTTCCCGGGGGACAAAAAACCATGGCAGGCCCAGTTCAAATTAACTGGTGTAACACTAAAAAAGCTGATTTTTTTATGGTAACTGCTCCAGATCTGTAGATATACTGGAGTGAATATAAATGGAGCTCTTAGAATCACAGCTACAGTACAATACAGACACAGACACTGTGTGTTTTACAAGGGAAAGCCAAGACTGTAAAGATTGGATTGGTTTCATTCACAACAAATTTCTTAAGACATCGAGGTAGAAATACCTGAAAAAATACAGAAGACTATTCATGTTTATTTCAGAGAATCCCTGTGAAGTGTTCAACGTGATACACTATCAAATTCTTAATGATCAGTTGCCCATACTTGGAGATCTTTTCATTCTCCTTTCTCCCATCTGGAGGATGCACTTTCTGCCACAAAAGAGAAATCGGGCTGTTTTGTGATGTGGCTGTGTCCAGGAACTCATGCAGGTTAAATAGAACTGATCTGGCCTTGGCCAGATGGTGACAAGCTTTTCCTGGGTCATGATTGCTTGTTCTACAGAGCGCTTTGCTTCTGCCAAAGCATCGCTTTGCCTTTTCAGAGCAGAAGGTGAGATGATGCAAGCTGTTCATGGGAGCATGCTGATTTACAGCAGCAGGGAGAAGTGGTTCAGAATCTTTACAAGAGGTTTGTCTGCTGTGTAGAGCTGTGGTATTTAGACCTCGCTGACCTGGAGGGGTTTCCTTACATCATCCTGCAGTTGGATTCACACCTGCCTGCGGAAAGCTGATAAGAACAAAGACAACAAGATGAGCTTTAAAGAACTCAAGAACTTCCTGAAAGAAGTGAACATTGAAGTTGATGACTATCATGCCAAGGCAATTTTCCAGGTAACGAGAGCAAGCAGATTAGTAGTGGCTGTTGGCTGAGGTCAAGGTCTCCCACTGCTATCAGCATTGGGTGGAGACCTAAGCTAAAGTGAAGATACTCCTAGTATCTTTTCTTGTACCAAGAAAGTACTCTTAGCTTGCAGTGCTCAGCAGTTCTCACCAACTGAGTTAGGATAGCACAGTGCTTTTGATGAAGCTCTGTTAAGGTGTTCTTTCTTTACTATTGAGACACAGTTTTACCTGGCCTCAGAAAAGGCAGAACACAGACATGGATAACGTGAGAAAAAGGAAAAGCCAAAGTGCAAGTGCACTGTAAGTCTCAGGAATTTGGGGAGTTATGCATGCTGTAGCCATGTGTCAGTGCCTAAGCCACCCAAATCAGTGTGGTGAAATTACAAACTCTGTACCATCTCAGAGCAGGTGGGTTTCCAGTGACCTGTGTAAACAATGATAAAGTGTGAATTGGTGATGAAAAACAAAATGATGAAAGATATGTAATATTACACCTTCACTTGGGCCAGCGTGGTTGCTCTGATAGGCCAAAGCACGTTCAATCCACTTGAATGTGCCCTTCTCATTTCTCTAGATCCAGCTATCTGGCTCAGCCTATCAGAAGATAGGGATGAAAATTTCTCTGCTGTTCTTAGTGTCTCTAAACAAGCCTTCCTCCTGAGATGAGAAAAAAAACGCCTGGGTAAATTCCAAACTTCTGTCTCTTATCTGAAGCAGGATTTGAATTAATGGTGGGCAGTTTCAGAAATGTTTTTTCCTGATTAGTGGTAAACATGTGGGTGGCTGCAGGTACAGGCTGTATTCCTCCTGCTCCTTCCTGTAAGCAGATAAGGCCGGAGGTTGGCAAGGTCTCACTAGGACCTTTCCCCAAAGGAGGAACAAGTTTCCTAATCCTTGGTTTATGGAGCTGTCTGTCTCTTTGGTAACTCTGCAGGATCCCAGGTTGGATGGGGCCCTGGGCAGCCTGATCTAGTGGCTGGCAACTTTGCCCATGACAGGGAGTTGGAGCTTGCTGATCTTCAAGGTCTCTTCCAACCTAAGCCATCCTATGATATGGAGGAAGGTTCTCAGCAGATCTTGAAGAATTTCACCTTGCAAAATGGGCAAGATATACAGCCCAGTGTGGCTGGCATATTCTATGGTTTGTTCTCTACTTGGGAAGACCATGGAAAAATAGCAAAAAGTCTGGAATTCCTCTGGTTGAGTTAGATATCTCCCACTGCAGGCACTTATGCTGGAAGTAGTCACCAGCACTTAACATTCCCTTTGCAATTGGTGTTCATCAAACCAGTGTTGTAGACCAGGGTGTGATTCATCTCACCCTAAATGTGACACCTCATACACATCTTCTAACATCAAAGGTCTGAATCAGATGTGGCAGCAGTTAGAAGGGTGCAGGAGGATTGGAAACTTACCAAAGTTCAAGTCTCTTTTTGCTTGAGGACTCCAAGCAGTAACTAAGCCCTCATTCATCCTATCCAAGTGTAGGCAGCTAGTCAGAAGTACACTTATTAGACCTGTAATTGTTCTAAGCTTCCTGTATAGCCAGGGGAAAGAGAAGATGTTAATTAACCCTCTGAATTAACCTCCAAAAGGTTAATTCATATCTCTTGTGTGGTGAATTGCCTTTTAGAAGAGTCTGTCTCACTCTATTTGACCACTGAATCCTTAAGCAATTATGTTTTCATTTTACATTTCCCTTAAACTTAGATGGAACGCGAGACGTTACAGCATATTAAAATGGTGATCTTTTCTGTCTCAGTGAGTTTTGCTCCATTTAGTCATGGGAAGGAAGGGCAACCAAGAGATTTAAGGGAGAGCTACAGGGCATGTTCTTACATTATTCTTGCTTTTTGCCACATAACTGTGTCAACTTCTACATTTTAGACACATCTAAGTGAGACATATGCTATGCAGCCAGAAACTCTGCAAAGCTCCTGTAATTGCTCGCTTCATTCCAGTGCATCTGAAAGCTTCTGTCTCTTTGTGGCAAACTGAAGTTCATTCAGGAATCATTGTTCATGATCCATACAAATGAGCTCAATAACAGCTTTTTGAATTGAAAATCTAATTTGGAGCTCTTGTAGCCCAAGCAGAAGGAGCTCAGTTTTACACTGTGTATCTGATCCATCCTAGAATACAACTGTGATGCCAATGCTCTTGTACTTTGTTCATTACAGCCTTTACTGGCAACTAATGAACAAACTTACTGAGATACATTAGCTATAATGACTTCCTAGGAGTCACATCATTATTTTCCACATGGTGTGTTAAAGAACATCTATCATTTACAGCATCCCTGCAGTCTCCATCAGTTTCCTTCCTTCTACTCCTTTTTTCAGCTGCTAAATATCACGCTCAACTTAGCTTGAGATCTGCCAAAGCCACAGCACATGGAAGGCAGCAAAGAAAAGATGGTTCCAGAACAGCTCAAACTCATTTTAAAAGTGTCTGTAATATTGAACATTTCATAGATTGTTCTATCCCTGAGATGAGCCCATAGTTTTTAGCCAACAGATTCTGAAATCAGAACAAGTTGAACTTTTTCCTCTTGATTCACTTTGTGAAATGCAACATGTCACGATCATTTTGCCTGGTTTTATATGCGTGCCTTAAGCTGCTAGTGAAAGACTCTGGAGGAGGTACTGTGTGAGGACAAACAGTCTGTTATTATCATCTTGCTTGGACAACTGCCAAAGCCGCTATGGCCATCGCTGGGTTCATTGGAAGGGTTAGGCTGAGATTAGCATGGCGATTAGTTAACCTGAGATGTGCATTTTGCTCATAAAACCTGGGTCAATAGCTCTATCTCTGTGAGAGATCAAAGATCTATAGCAATTAAATTCCTCTGGTTTGACCAGTTGCTGTATTTCAGCTACATCCTGGTGTCTGGTAGCAAGTTGTTCATTTCAAGGGTGAAATGAAATGCACAGCAACCTCTTCTGTGTGGTCTGGAGCACATGCTGCATGTCCAGTTCAGATCTGAAGGAGAGAAAATTTTAGGCCAAAAAACAAATAAGGCAACCACGTCCTGCGGGCACTTCATATGCTGTTGGAGATTTGTCATCCATGGCAAAAGTTTGATTTTTCAGATGTGAGTGAAATGTAAGATGCGAGTGGGCTGTCTTACCAGTGCTGGGGGTCTGTTTGCTTGCTGCAGACATTGGGAGAAAGGGAATCATCATAATTACAAGGCATTAACTGGATGTGGTTTGACTGCTGCAATTTGCTGACAAGAACACTTTGAAGTAATATAACATTCCCTGCCATGATTCCCCTGAGATCAGCTCCTGCTTTCCATTCCAGCTTGTTTTGCTCAGCTGTATTTACTGCAGAGGTTTACAAACCAGAGATAACAAAAATAATAGTTGCTCGCCTCTCTACGAGGATTTCTGCTAGGAACAATCAACAAAATTCCTATCAGAATTTGCCACAGGAAAAAGAAAATTCTGATGAAAAATTGGACTTGGGAATATTTATTGCTGGAAAAGGTATTGTCCTGTGTGCAGATGCTAGCTTGCATATCTTAAACTGCTCGTCAGCCACATTCTTGGCTGTGGTGCCCTGTTAGAGCTGTGACTGAGTAGAGAAGTTAAAACCATTGGGAAGCATGGAGGCATGAGGAATTTGTATTGCAGCTCCTTGAGAAGCTGATAGCCAATTTGCAGTTTTGTGGGGGTTTTGCAACTTGTTTTTTTGGAGAAGAATGGGAAATTTCCACAGATAGAAGATCAATTATTTTTTTTTCCATACCTAAACAAGCACATGTTTAGAGGGATTTTCTTTAAAGTCAGTTTTGTACCGTCATTGCAAGCAGTCCTGCTAACTGGCCTCGATTGTCTCTTGAGGTTGGGACCCACTAGGATCAAGGGAAAGGTCTTTCCACTTTACCTACCAGATTTTACATCAGATGCATTAGTTGTTTTTGTATAGCGTTCCACCCCTTGAGATCAAGAGGTTTGTTTCTCTTGACCCTTGATTTTTGCTTGGATTGTAAGGAGCCTTCCTTTTAATGCATGGTTTGTATAGCATGTAGTGCAGTGGAGCTCAGGGCCATTCCTGGTGCTCTTCAACATACTGATAATATGAATAAATAATGATAATAATTGTAACCATTATGTGACTAGTGGCCTTATTAATGAGAACCATTCACCGTGCTTCTCATTCACTGGCCAGTAACTGTTTCCAATTATTTTGTGTTCTGCGTTGTGTAGCCCTGGTGCAGATTACGGCTGGCATATGCCAGAAGGAAAGAAGGTTTTCACTCCTTCTCCCCTCTACGTTTACAGCACTGTGACAAGTCCAAAACAGAGGCTCTGGAGGATGATGAGATAGAGGAATTTTACAAGATACTAACAGAGAGAAAGGAAATAGACAAAATCTTCCAGAAGTACTCAGATGCAGAAGGGCTCATGTCCTGCCAGAACCTGGTGAGGTTCCTCTATGAGACACAGCAAGAAGAAGATGCTGTTGTTGCTGCCCCTCCCTTGATTCAGAGATACGAGCCCAGTGAACGAGGTAAGTTGGGAACCCTGCTTGGTTTGGGTTAAAATCTTACTATCTTGATGAACTCTGAATTGCTTTGCTATTGCTTGCTTCTACAGCCCTGCTGTGTTGTTTTGTCTTTGAAACCATTTCTAAACCAGCAGTCTTTTAGGGGAACACCAGCAGCTTGAGAAAAGAAGGGGAAATGAGAACCTGGGAAATATTTATGTTCATATTTGGCTTAGGTACTATGAGCAGCCAGAATAGGGGTTGTCCTAGAGTTGGTTAGAGAGCAGTGGCATTCCTGTAGGAAAAGCTCTGATGGCTTATTCAGGTATCAGTCATCACCTACCTTGCAATGTGGCAATGTTTCTGTTCTTTAAAACGGAGAAAGAGATAAATGTTTTTTACGTGAGCACGTGAAAACCCACGGGGTGTTGAGATCTCTGAGTAGGTAGGCAAGGAGGTGAGAACTGTTCAGGAAAGCAATCACATAACTGTCGTTCTGCTCAGAAATTAAGAAATCACTGACTTGGGCATTTTGGAGGACATGTTCAAGAAATCAGTGCAAGATCGTAGGCTCTCTGCACTGTCCTGGTAGAGCTTCAGGAGAGGGATAATGCTTTGCACATATTAGATTTGAGGGCCAGGTTGAAATCTAGCTCAGTCCCTCAAGATAGGGAGACGTCAGTTATCGTCTGACAATTTCTGTGTTGGTATGAGAGAGACTTGAAGTGCTTACATGGAGATTTTTGTACCGTAGATCTCTAGAAGCAGGTGAGGTAAGTGTTGCACTTTTTAGGTCTTATCAAGGACAGTAAATGCCAAAAAGTTCTGCTTGTGAAGAGGTTTTTAAAATACTTTCAGACAGATGAAGCTATCGCTGTCTTCTGAACAGCATAAATCTCTCTGCTAGCTGAGTGCCTAGGGAGCATGTTTTACTTTGAGACTATCAAGGATCAGCAGGCACCATGGTGAAGATGACACCACAGCTTGTCTGTGTCAAATTTTAAGCATGGGGTTTCTGTCTATTCGTCTGGCAGCCAAGAAGCGTAACGCCATGACCAAAGATGGTTTCCTGATGTACTTGCTGTCTGACGATGGGAATATATTCAACGCCTCCCACCGTAAAGTTTACCAGGACATGAATCAACCTCTCAGTCACTACTTTGTGTCATCCTCACACAATACCTACCTTATGGATGACCAGCTTACAGGCCCTAGCAGCACAGAAGCCTACATCAGGTAATGTGTGTGTGTGTGTGTGTGTGTTTATGTGGGAATGTGTTTAAGTACCTGTGAGATGTTGGTTTGTTTTCCTTACAGAAGACATGAGGTGCTTAAGTCATCTTACAGGACATCTATACTGCTAGATACAAGAGAGCCAAGAGGCAACCTCTCATCCTCAGACTTGGAAACAGCGACTAAAATAAAATAGTGACTATCTCAAGTCCCAAGCTTAAGGGAGCAGAGAATGAAATCTGGTACAGGTTACTGAAAGTAGCTATTTGGATTCCCCTTCCAGTATTTTAAAATTATAGAATTACCTTTTGTCTTAAAAAAGAAAAATACTAAAAAAAAAATCCACGATTCTTACTGCAGTGATTTAAAGGACTTGTGTTATCTGAAATGTATTGGGAGTTGCATAAAAGAGGCAAGATCACCTCCAAGGAAGTTAAGTCTTTCATAAAAAACTTCGGTTTGAAAGTAAATGAAAATAGTTGTATGGATATGTGGAAGGAGTTTCAAATGGGAATTCAGTCTGTAGACTCAATTTGGGAGACTGGCCCCCTGCAGTCTCCGCAGATGTAATTAATGACAGCTTGGAGGATTCATCCCTCAGATCTTACCAGATCTTATCAGATCTAGGTGAAGAACACACATCATCCAGGCTTCAAGATCTGGCTTCTGTAGCTGACTTTCTTTCTTCCAGTACATTTCTTCTCTTCAACATCTTTGGGAAAAGACTTGGGACACAAATATGAATGTCCTTTCTCACCTAACACTGTGTCTCCTTCTTCAGATAGCCCTTAGCTTGGGCTTTCAATGACCTCTTTTCTCAGATCCCACCTTGCCTTCCTTGTTCAGCCTTCAGCTCTGTTGCCCCTGAGCTCTCCTGATTCCATCCTTTCTCCATCTGCTTTCCTGTTTTACCAAGCTCTCCTTTCTACCTTGATCCCTGAACTACCCATCAACCTTCCCAGGCAATACCTGTGACTGATTCACTTTCTGCCTTGAACCCTGAACTTCCTATCTGTCTTCCCAGGCAATACCTGCAATACCAGGCAATGCCTGATCCTGAGGAGCAGGTTTAAAACCCAACCAGGTCCCTTCTTTGTTTCCAGAGCCCTCACCAAAGGTTGCCGCTGTGTGGAGTTGGACTGCTGGGATGGCCCTAACTCGGAGCCTATCATTTATCATGGCTACACTCTCACCTCCAAGATCCTCTTCTGTGATGTCATTAAGGCTATCAAGAACTATGCTTTCAAAGTAAGGATTGGGAATCCTGACACTCGCTAAGATTTCTCCTACTATATTGATAGCAGATCTCTGCTCTCCCAGCAGAGAGCTTAAAATGGAATACTTCACCTTAACTTTTCCATGGGTAGAAGATATGTGCTTCTGTCTAGACATCCAGTTTCTGCTTTCTGAACAGATCCATTCCTGGAAGTTTCTGGTCAGGCAGGGCACAGCCTTGGGATAAGTTTAAGTCTGTGCTAGCACAGCTAGATATTGGACCCCCCTGCAATTAAAATAATGCCCAATTTCTTGAACATATGTGGTAGGAAATGCAAGAAAACCCTTGATTTACTTGGCTTTGATGCCTCATGGTCTGTCCTTACATTGGAGGAACGGTATCTGTGTGTATTGGAGGGACTGATGCAAAGAACTTCTACTCTGCTTTAAAAGGAACAAGCAGGTCAGGATTCTTATGTGGCAGTGCTAAGCTAGCAGCCTTTAAAATCCTTGGGTGTACTTTCTGCTATTTTCCTTCAATGCACTTGACTTGAGAACCAATACCAAGTTTTCTTTGGGGCTATAAAGCAGTGACAGTGGCAATGCCTTCTGTACACAAAATATCTACGGGGCTACAAAGAACCAGATCAGGCCTATGTGTGAATGCAGGAAGGATTCAGGTCAGTTAAGGATCTGAGCAAGCCTCCTTTCCCAGTCTTCTCCTGACTTAGGAAGGTTCTCTGACAATGGTGCACGTGGAGAATGGAGGCACGGGGAGGTTCACAAACTGCCCCACTGAAGGAATACTGATCCAGCCTGCTGCCCTGTACGTGGGATCATCATTTCTGCAAGGCATCAGCATAGATCTGAGCAGCTAGTGCACAGCTGAATTTGTCCTTTTTTTTTTTTTACTCCCTGCTGCTGATGCACTCATTTCCAGAGAAAACAACAATGGAGTTATATCAACTGCTTTAGGATGGTAAAATTTCAGAGTTCAGTTATGATGGATGTTACTGTCTTGTCCTAGACTTCACCATACCCTGTCATCATCTCTCTGGAGAACCACTGCAGCCTCGATCAGCAGAAGGTCATGGCTCGGCACATGACAACCATTCTGCAGGACATGCTCCTGGTCGCCCCGATTGATGGAAGCAAATCCCAGTTCCCCTCCCCAGAGGTGAGCAAGGCCACTCCTAGCACTTTCTGCCCTCTGAAGGTGGGACAAGAGAGGTCTGTTCTTGCTGGATGCTAACTGGGGAACCAGTGGGAATTACACTTGCCGACACATAGAGCTTACCTAGGGGCAGTGGTAGAATAAGAAATAGGAATAGTTGTTAGAAATACCCTGTGCACATCAAACTTCAAAATGAACTGCTTGTTTGTTGTATAAAGACTCAGAGGAGATATTCCTGAGGAACTAAGGACATTTCTGGTCTATTTACTGAGGCATGGCGGCATCCTTCATTCCACAAGGAAGGAATGCAAGGGAGCTGAATCCTGAGGATCTGTCTTGTGTCTGTTCCCACACCCCGAAACTGAATATGGCCAATCCTCTGAAACATAGAGAGGTTGCTGTGGAAACCCAGGCTGTTGATGAGAAAGTCATGAGGACTGAAAGGACAATATAATTATTTGTCCCTTGAAACCCGAGGGGAAAAGCAGCACAAGTGGCCTAAAACTGGGTCAAGTGTGAGATATCCTTCCACTGAGAACGGCCTGGGCTGGCATGGCGGTGTGGAAGGGCTTATGGAAGAGTCCTTGGAAGACAAGGGAAGGTGGGAGGTTGCCTGGAGGACAGGTTCCACTGTGATTCCTCAGAATTATGGCAGCCGTGAGGCAGTGAGCTGAGCTTGGACCCTGCAGGGAGAAGGAGATACACAGCCCTCATAGTGTACCACGGCAAGAATATCTGGTAATTAGGAGGAGAAAAAGAAAAAGAAAAAAAAAAAAAAAAGGAAATTGAATCTTCGTATGAAAATAATAATAATAATAATTGTTTCCAAAAAAAGAAGCCAAAACGTTCATCTGTTTCCACCCTTTGTGTCTGTGTTTTCTTTCTTTCTTCCCTCCTGAGCACTTTTCAGAACCAGACCGTTGTGTGAGTAGCTGCTGTCCCCTTTATATCGCATTTCCTTGCTAAAGAAATCATTTGCCAAGAGTTGGAGAAGGGCTAGCCAGGGCTGGAAGGAGTTTGTGGGTAGGGTAAAGCTGACAGCAGGGGAGGAAAGGGGGGGAAATGAGCCACCCCAAATATCTTGGGCTTGGTTAGACTCGATGATCTTGAAGGTCTTTTCCAACCTGAGCAATTCTATGATTCTATCTATCTTCTCTGCTTTTTCTCCCTCTCTCTTTTCCTCATTTCCTTTTCTGACTTTCCCTTTTCTTGGGAATGTTGTGCCTCACTTGATAGAATGCCTGGCGCAGAAGGAAGCTGATCCGGGTTGGTCCCTCGGCACTAGTGCAATAAATTGGGATAAATCATTAATTTTTAATGCTGCTGCTTCAGCGAGACCTTTGCGCTGGCACGGACAAGTGGCCTCCATTTCAGAAGTGACTCTCCCCCGGTGAGGTTACACCCAGCACGGAGGCAGGTCTCTGCAGGCTCTTAACGGAGTTGGAAAATCAGCGTTTTCGGTGTTATGTGCTGGCTTGTTATTTATCCTCAGTGTAGGATGGGGAAAGCTGCTGACAGCTTTTCAAAAACACCGCCTTGTGACCAGGGGGTGATTATAAAGAAAGAAAAGTGAAACACCAAGGAAGGAAATGTGTGATTTGTGCGTAAGGGGATGACCCCAGCTTCCCAGAGATGTTTTTTTCCCATTCCTGTGCTTGACTGACCTCCTGCTCTGCTTGCCCAGGTGGACACGTGGCCCTCGCTGGAACAGAAAAGCCCAGATCTACCTTTACTGAATGGATTTGGGATGATCTGCTCCAGTGGAGGGACTGATCCATTTAGCTTAAAGGGAGACAAAATACCAATGTAGTAACACATATCCTTTCTCTTCTATTACTTTTCCTCTGTTTTCGTGCCATGTGAACTAGAACAGTGTGTTTGTGGAAAACACATTGAAGCCGAAGCACTAAGAACAAAAAAACAGCAGAAACCCCTTAGATTTTTCCACTTTCTTGTGAAGCTGGCATGGGGAAGCCAGAGAAAGTGTAATATATTTTTTCTTAGAAAAAAATACAGGATTCACCACTGGGAGGAGATCTGAAAGGCTGTAAATAAAAGCAGGCAGAGCAGAATAAGTTAGCAGGGCAACGTCAGTAATTAAAGGAAGATAACACAGTTTGTAGTCACACTACCAATGCACAGTACAACCCTGGGCAAGCATCTCATTCATCAGGTTCCATTTAGGAATGGAGTCTTGGGCTACGAAAAGTGCCCAAATACTTCTGTCAAGCTTCTCTCTTTAGGTCCTGATCATGAATTAAAGGCGTATAGGATAGAAAGCCAAAAGCCACAAAAAAGTTCCAGGAAAGCTTCAGGTCAGTGCCAGGGCTGTAGGGAAGAGGTGCTCCAATCTTTGCTGCTGATTGCTTACTGCAGGCCTTTCTGCTTAATTCCTGATCTGCACAGGGTTCTGCTGGTGTTCTTTCCCCCTGTCTGTGCATATCAACTAGAAATGATGCAAAAACCCATCCTTATGATGAGACTAAACCAGATGCTGAATGTTAATTCAGCATACCAGGCATATTCCAGACCCCTCCAGCTTTTTGGTGTTGGACACCCTTCACCATGGGAATGGTTTTGGGCTGAATTTATTAGCCTTACTGGGTGACCCTTTGGACCATGAGCACCCCAGTGCAGTGACTGGGGCTCTGCAATCCCACAAACAACATCTGTCCCATGGATTGCACCCACTGCTGTGCCCAGTGCCCCATTCAACGTCACCTTGAGCCATGCGGTTCAACAAACGCATCCAGGATAGCAGCAGCAAGGCAAGGCTCAGCACAACTGACCTGAGATTTCTCCCTGGGTAATGTGTTTCTTTTTTTTTTTTTGAGACTCTTTTCATCCTTTGATGCTGCTTGTTGTAAAAACCTGCAGTATCTCAGCTCAGCTGCCTGACAGACATCTGCAAATGGAGCAGTGCTTTGAGTTGGTGCATCAGGTCTGCACATCTCCTCCTGAAAGTGAACGTGTTAATCCTCACAGCTTCTCTGACATCTGATAGGTATCTTCATCCTGAGAGCAGAATGCAGTGTGGCAGTTAGCCTTTGTGTATCCGTGTACTTGAGCACATCACTTTGGCCTGCTTATGAACTAGTTAATATGATCAGGGCAGTTGGAGGTGTAGTCCACCTCCTCCCAGACAGTTGTCTGATCACACCCTAGGGGTGTTAGTTTTCTCTGTTGACTCTAAAGGAGGTGTCGAAGGCACAGAAAGTTTGTTGAGGTGGCTCCTGTTAATATGCCAACACCACTGAGTTAAACATTGGAAATCAAACCTAGTAATGGCTGTCAGGTCAGTAATACAGTCAAGAAGCTTTCAGGTAAAATAAATGCATGTGTGCAAACCTTTTGAACTACTCTGCTTGTTACGGCTTTGCTCCTGATAAAATGAACGGTGCTTTCATTTAAGACAGGTGCCCTGTCCCAGATCACAGACTCCAAAGGGACCAAAGCCATGTATCAGAATCATTGCAAATACAGAGATGAGCTTGCTTTGATTTGCAGCAGAAAAGGTGAGAAAGCAGTGGAGCTGCACTTCTGGAAATCTAAGACAATATGGTTTACAAGAGTGCAGAAGGAATTAAAAGAGTTGCATCAGTTCCACTGTGCTATGTGTTCTCAGTGCACTCCAGCATGCTTGTAGCTTTTCCTTCTTTCTTAGTTGTGTTCCTCTTTGGGCTTGCCACAGGCGACTGGAATAGCTTTATGGTCTACTTGTTAAGTATTTATTGAGCATTTCAGCTAATACTTCTTCCTAAGACAAGGAATCTACTCAACAGAGCTGAACTGATGAGCTTAATGTCCTTCCCCTCAGGCTAGAAATACTTAATATCACATGAAGGGGAACAAATTCAGATGGAGCAAATGCATGTATGTATGTGTCTGCGTCAGCTTATTTAAAACCTTGGTAAAGTAGATAAGCACCCAAATTTTGGACTTTGCTTCTTAATATCCACATCACACTCCTCCCAGCTGCCTTTGTCCAGCTTTTGAGTGACAGAGTAAGTTCCTTGGAGTAAACAGATCATTTGTGGTAGCTGAAGAAAAATGTTCTTGGCTACTGCCTTATGTGCCAGCGTCAAATTTCAGCTCAAATCAAGTTTCATCCACAGCTTAGCCAGTCAGTGAGGAGCTGGGCTGGTCTCCACAGAGACACTATCAATTTGCTTGCACCCACAAGAGGGGAATAGTGTTACTTTAAAAAAGATTTTTGGTTTTGCACGGTCCTGTCATTTGAGAGCAGAGGGGTTTGTTGCTTTTGGTGGAAGAGGCAGATATAGGATGTTGCTGAAAGAAGAGAGGGCACATTATACAGAGTTATATTGGCTAAATCTGAGGTTGTGTTTTTCTGGTATAAGCAGCACCCTCCAGAGCCAGCAGTACCAAACACATCCATGTGGCAACAAATCTCCCACTGGCTTCACTGAAAGGAGCAAGGCCAGGGGACAAACTGCTGATCACCTTTGCCTGCTTTTCCTTGTGCAGCAACTGAAAGGGAAGATCCTTGTGAAAGGCAAGAAGCTGAGCAGACAGGAAGACCCCACTGGGACAAATGGGAACAACAACCTGGAGGCTGAGGATGTCTCTGATGAAGATGAAGCAGCTGAAATGGAAGATGAATCTGTGAAGACAGAGGTGCAGCAGAAAGGGAAGGTAAGTAAAAGAAGTGGCTGAATCCCTAAAAGGGTTAGACCTGCAGAGGCAGGAGAGCTATGAGATAAAGTAGATCTTTGCCTACTGCTGAAGGCTTGGAAATCCTGCATCAGAAAGTCTAATCTTGTTAGCAATCCCATGTCTCATGCTGGCAGACCACTTTCTAGATGGGCTTTGTGACGTGACTGGGAAAAAAAATAGCAATTGAAATATATTTCTAATATGCTCTCAGCTAAGCACAAGTATGGAGATCTTGCAAGGCCATCCGACTATGCTGGTTTTCTTTCCTCTCTAAAAAGAAGCTGAAGGACCCAGCAGCTGGGAGAGCCGTTTAGCATAGTGTCAGGTGTCGGAATGGGCTGCCCAGGAGGTGGTGAAGTCACCATCCCTGGAGGTGTTCAGTGTTGTACAGAGAGACATGGTTTAGTGGGAAATATTGGTGACAGGTGAACGGTTGGACCAGATGATCTTAGAGGTCTTTTCCAACCTTGGTGATTCCATGATGCTGTGGTTTATGGATGCAGTGGATGAGTACATGTTCAGTCTACTTCCATCTGACTTCCAGATATCTGTTTCTCATGAGTCCATCATCACCTTGTTAGTTACTGGGGGCTGATGGTTTTCTGGTAACATTTTGGGACGTGCCTACACCCTCGCTGGCCATTTTTTGATGGCCTTGTGCAGCAGAAAGAACTGTGGGAAGAGGTGTCAGTTTACCAATGGGGTGACTGTTTTGGGAGGAAGAAGGTTTACCACCACATCAGTATTTTGCTCCCTATTGTGAGGGCATTCATTTTTTTTCAGACTGCAGGTCAATGTGAAGGCCGTATTCCTTATGGATCAGGTTCATAGATGACATAAATTAATTCAGTCCCACCGATGACAAAATTCATTGATACTGCCTCGGAATCTAATCTGATATATGCTTTCCTTTGCTGTTTTTTTACTGTTTGAGGGTTTTATTTCTTTTTCTAATCCATAGTCAACAGCATGTATTATTTTGAAGACTGAAATTTTGTTTTCTTGCATTTGGTGGGAGCTGATGATACTTGTGATCAAGGCTGTGGAGTAGTTGGCACCAAAGCATTGTGAGAACTTCCTAGTTCAAGATAAAAAAAGCCAAAGGTCTGAGGTGCAAGGAAGGCTCATTCAGGAAGTCAGTGATATCTGTGGACAGGCCAGTGGCTGGTGAAATGTGCCCATAATGTTGCCTATGTAGGTAACAGCAGAGTTGTTATTCTGCATGATGGTCTGAGAGGAGGGATTAACCCTCTCTGAGCAGGGTAAGGGACACAGCAAGGGCAGTCTGCCTCTTTACCACCCTGTATCTGCACGGGGTTGCCATTGGGTGATGATGGTGGGTATCCTTTCTATATGTGGTTGATGATACAGAGCAGACCCAGGGTTTGTAGAAGAAACACAATTCTTCCTTCTTTTTTTAGAGTGACACCCTCAAGCTGGCCAAAGAGCTGTCAGACACAGTTGTCTACTGCAAGAGTGTTCATTTCAATGGCTTTGAAGACCCCAGCCACCCTCGAGCTTTCCATGAGATGTCATCGTTCACAGAGAGCAAAGCTCTGAAACTAGCTCAGGAGTCTGGTATGTATGTTCTGCCTTGGCAAAAGGCCATCCTATGTCCCAGTCCTCCATAAAGTGTCAGCTAGTGGTGATTAAACATGAAGCACCCCAAAGCCATAGGTCACAGGCTGTTACCAGGAAGGGTATTTTCTGCAGGCAGTTTGCACTCAGCCAGACTAGACAGAGAAGCACTATATACAGAAGTATCAAGAAAAAGTAGCCCCCATCACTGGAAAGAATTTTCTTCTTATTATTATTATTGTTATTATTATTGTTATTATTTTCTGTAGGAAACAGCTTTATTCTTCATAACATCAGGCACCTGAGCCGAATATACCCTGCAGGCTGGAGGACAGATTCTTCCAACTACAATCCTGTTGACTTGTGGAACGTCGGCTGCCAGATTGGTGGGTGCAACAGGGAACTTGGAGAGGGTTAAGGTGGCCACATTAGTCATGACTTGGCCACAGTGGGGCTTTGGCTGAGGTAGATGTTCAATTCCAGGCCAATTACAGGCAGAGAGGCTCAGTGACCACTGGAAGAGATGAGTTCTTGCAACTGCTAGGAGAACTTTTCCTGCACTTTAAGTAGGCAGAGAAACAATCTGAGAAGGATTTGTGGCTTTGCTTTAATTAATGGGTTTATCTAGAGGATTGTTGTTCAATCAGATGACAAAAAATTCAATGCAGGACGTCTTTTGACCAATTTTTCAACCCTCCTGCAGTAGGCAGGAGGATGACTGAGATGGCCATAATGGCTTCTCCTGCTTCTAATGTCTCTGAATGGAAGAAATCCTCAGGGCAAGCAGACTGTGAGGGGCAGAGCTTATCAGTGCTCTATGAAGCATGGAAAAGTCAATGTTTATGTCCATGAAGTGCAATTTCATGTGCATAGAAAAAGACTCCTATTGATTTATCTGAAAGTGACTGAGCTTATTTATGTTGCAGTTGCCCTAAATTTCCAGACAGGAGGCACAGAAATGGATGTCTACCAGGGCCGGTTCCAGGACAATGGGTTTTCTGGGTATGTCTTAAAGCCGGAATTCCTCCGGGATGAGCAAACCAAATTCAATCCAAAATCCATCACAGAAGGAACATGGGGGACAAAGAAGAAGCTTCTACTTAAAGTAAGAATAGAAGTCAGAAAATTTTCTCAGTAGTATGCATTTTGGGGGTTGTAGGTTGTACCTTCTCCTTTTTCTGGTCCCACATGGACAATGTTATCCTAACTACTCATTTTCCACTGTGTGTATTTTTCTCAGTCCTGCATGGACTCTCACTTTCCAAGCATATGTGTAATGTTTGGCATCAAGAGAGGTAACTGACAGCATTTACTACAGATGAACATACAATCATGTTAGACACATCAACATTCACCATTGTTGTTTCCATGTATCACCCAATCATGCTGGGGAGAGATAGAGAAGTTGCCTTTTTGACTGACAACATTTCATTAGATGCTTTAGATCATTAAAGCTTCCTCTGAAGAGTGTCACAATGCTGGCTGTGAAAGACCAGCACCAACAACAGGTCCTGTAGTCCTGGAGAAAGAGAGGGAACCAGTCTCTCTTTCCTGCATCCTGATCTTTTGCTCTTTTTCCTCCACAGATCATCTCTGGTCAGCAGCTGCCCAAAGTAAACAAGAGCAAAAACTCAATCGTTGATCCCAGGGTAACAATTGAGATCCATGGAGTCCAGCAGGATAACAACAAGAAGCAGACCAAAGTCGTTGAAAATAATGGTAAGGGGTTTTCTTCCATGCTGTGATGCCCTGGGGCTGTAAACCTTTGGTTTCATGCAGCAGCATCTTCCTCTTCAAGACCTGCTGCCCTGTGGCCTGCCCAGATACATACAATTTTAATCACACAAAGCAAATACACTAGGTGATGATGGCCTGCTTCAGTACAGGGGCCCTAGCTGTACAGCAGATTGATGTCCATATGGGGCATTTGTTTCAGGGGTTATTCCATCTCTTTTATTTACGGGTTGTTTGGAGACAGAAATTGCCTTCAAAACAACATCATCCAGCTGAGTTGTTTTGAGATTGGCTGCCAGATCTGCAGAGCTGGAGACTTGAAAGTGCTCTTTACCTCCACGCAGTTGGATCTGACCTGGGACACACAGGATCCCTTCAAGATCTTTCCAGAAAGGACTGTGTGTGACTGATTTTATTCTGAAAGAGCTACAAACTCACAAGAGTGTGGTGGCAAGAGACTGTAGAATTGTCCATTCTAAATCCTGCTCAGAGAAGGACCAACTTGTAAGTTAACTCAGTTTGCTTAACGTGTTACCCAGATGAATTCGGAGTATCTCAAAGGATGGCGTTTGCTCACACTCTCTGGGCAAGTGATCCAGTCTTTGACTTAGGATAAAATAAGATCTATACTTAATCAGAAATTCACTTGTTGCCATTTGTGCCTGTTAATATCATGCTTTTGCTGTGCATGTGTAAAAAGAGTCTGGGTCCATCTTCTCTGTAAGGGGAAAGTGGGAGATGGTGATAATAACTCTCTTAGCCTTCTCCAGGCTGAACAGCTTGAGCTCTCAGCTTCTTCTCGTATGTAATGTAGTCTGTGCAAAAGCAGAACATTTCCTGTAGCTCAGAGCCTTCCCACAAAGCATGGACACTGCATCTGCTTATTCTTTTGGTCAGAGGATCCCCAGTGCTAAATTAATGCATTTCACAGCAAAGTAGCAGATGAGGGAAGAAGGCTGTAAGTCTGCTGATCCAAAGAGCCAGGATCCTTCTTCACAGTCACACTGATATTTCACATCCTGTGGACCACATTTCTTAGTGGTCAAACATGGCCATGGCTTTCCTCCATGCCGTGAAAGTCAGAATACTGTGGCCTTCAGCAACAGGAGAGGGCAAGTTCAGTTTTCTCTTCTGTGAGAATAACCAAGGTAAGAGGAATCTGAGAAATCACAAACATGTACGCAGACATGGCTTTTGTGCATGGAATAAGAGCCAAGAACTAGAAAAGCAGTGGATATTTTCCTCCCTGCTAACATTGTTTCCCTTTTCCTCCTTTCCTGTTTGACTAAGTCTGGCCCAGTTCCGAAAGCTCGTGGTCATTTCCTTTGCCTACAACCATTTCTATGTCTCAAGTGAAGGCTGTGTAAGGAACGTTTTAGAGAGACCAGGCCTATTCCTGAGAGTTGCTCAACTCACTTGGCCCCACTGTCAGCCTGTGACTGGCAGGAGGGATGCTGGAAGGATTCTGGAGGGAGAGTTACCCAGTGAAAAGTAAGATAGCAGTGTTGGAAAGGGCCAGCGGCAGAGGTGGGTTCACTTTTCCAAATGGGCTGAAGTCTTGACTGTGACCATGCTTCAGCAGCTCACCTGATTTGATGGTGCTGGGGCTGAAGCAATGGGCTGTGGATGCAGTTTAAGCCCCAGTTGTGCAGGCATGGAGCTCCAAAGGGGGTGAGAACTGCAGGCTCAGCAGTTCTTGGCTATGAGATGGGTTCTATGGCTCTGAGATGGGCTGAAAATCCCTGACAGATACCAGCACAATTAAATCTCCTGTCCTAAGGCTAATGACTTCCCTTTCAGTTTTGTGATTTCTTCTCCCATGGGACCAGTCACTCTTTTTTTTTCCGAGGATCAGTGGGATCAGGAGCACATGTATTTTATCTGAGCGGCCCATTGAATTTAATCCCATGAAAGTCCAAATAAAATGCGGCAATCCAGCACAGGTATTTTGCTATGGCACTATTCACAGACCCGCCTGGAACCTTCAGGGCCAGCTGAAGGATCTCTGCCTCCTGTTGCATCACCCACAAACGCTCCATGACCAGCAGGCTTCAGTTGATGTTTTGCTGTCCTTGAGCTTCTGCTGTGCACAGGCTGTGTTGATGGCAGTGGAGTTTCAAACAGAATGTCCTTTTCTCCTGTTTGCTTCTGGGGGGTGCTTTGTTGAAACTGCAGGGAGTAGCACAATGACCAGAGGGAAAGCACTGTGTTTTCTTTTTGTCTCTCATCTGACATGATGATCATGGCTTTGTTTTCTTCGTGAGTCTGGATCAGAAGCTCCTTACCGATGACAGAGGTGGCACTAGTCTGGCTGTCTCAGAAATTGCCATTATGCAAGGTGGAATAAACCATTTTGTCCCTAGTCTTAATGATGCTTTTTATAATCAGGCACTCCTCACTGCAGACAGGGAAACTGAGGCACTGAATTATGATGGATGGGTGCACCTTGAGCACTCAGTGAGGCATAAAACCTCAGAAAGCTGTCGTAACACAAAGGCATAGTTCTCCTCTCTGCTCCCTCTTGGTGGTCCATTGGATGGTCCATTGTGGAGCCAGGAGTTGGAGTCAGTAATACTTATGGGTTCCTTCCAGCTTAGGGTGTTCTATTATTCTGTGATTAGTCTGGGGCAGTAAAATGTTTCTGCTGGTCTAATGGCAAACTAAGATGCGTGTATCAGCCAGTGAGAGCCTTTGGAGCAAAGCTGAGTTCAGCCCCCTTCTGTCTTCTGCAGATGCAGTTCTGAGGTCGACAGCGATCAGCCTAAGCTGAAGGATTTATTAATACCAGGTGTATTCATAAATACTGGGAGCAACATTCTCAGCACTTCCTGCTTGTAAACATCTCTTACCTCCCTCTTTGTTGTGAGCAGCTCTAACCTCCTTCCTTGTCTATGTTGTTCAGGCTTCAACCCAAATTGGGACGAAGAGTTTACATTTGACATAGAGATCCCTGCGCTTGCCCTGGTCCGATTTGTGGTAGAAGACTTTGACATGTCAACCAAGAACGACTTCATTGGGCAGTATACTGTTCCCTTCACCAGTCTGAAGCAAGGTAAGGCCCTGCTCATCATTATGTACACCCAACGACTGCTTTGGGATCTTTAGCCTCCTACATAGGAGGTCCAGAGCCTACCACACCTTGGGTTAGAACTTGTCCTTGCTTTGTGTTCTGGGCAAGATGACAGATGACTTATTAAGCAGCTGCTGAACTCTGGCTCAGGGCAAGGGAGCCCATTGTCACCGGTGGCCTTGGGTGTGTTATGTTACCAGTGCCCAAAGCCATGCCTCTCTGACCTACCCATTCTGTGGGGCACAGGCAACAAAGAGCTGTCAGGGACAGGGAATTGTCACTGCAGGGTCTTGGTAAATGCTAGGAAATGTCTTTCTGACAGGACTAAAGGCCACTCTCCATCTGTGTCCCTTTTTTCAGGTTACCGCCATATTCACCTTCTGACCAAGAATGGAGACCCCTACTCCTCCTCCACCCTCTTTGTGTATGTCAACATCCAGGACTGTGATTAGCAGCTCAGTAAGTGGGTGGGTGAACCATCTTACAGACCTACAAGGAACTCAGCACGTCATCTACCACTGTCAGGGTCCCATCAAACCCACAGTGCCTTCTCCAGAGCAGCACACGTTGCCCATGGGGTCCTGATGTAAAATAGCCATCGACTCCCTCCCTCCTGCGAGTTGGAAACATCCTAATGCTGCTGTTGAGATTAATCCTTTTGTACATGTCCAACCAATCCAGCTGTGTTTTTGAGTTCACTTTATATAGTGTGGTTTTTAATTCTGCTTTTAGAAAGAGGATAGAGACTCCTTTTTAGCAAATCCTGGTTTGGGTTCTGTCACACATCTGGACAAAATACCTGACACCTATGCAAGAAAAACCCACTTTGACACTGAAAGCAGGAGCCAGACACCAGGTGACTTCTTGCAACTTCAGCTGTCAGCCATCCTTTACCATATGAAGTCTTAAAGGAGGACATGATTCTCCTCTTATCTGTTACAGATTAAAACAAGAAAGCTGCACTACAAAGGGCCGTGTTATATAACTTGACTTTCTTTTTGTATTATAATAAAAAATACATGAATACTGCTCTGCCTGTGTGCCTGGCTTCCAGCCAGGTCACTGTGCATTCAGAGCCTGGCTCTTATTCTGTGAAGGAGAACAAAACTGCCGAACAGTAGATTTCCCTCTATCCCAAAATGAAGCCCACTCACAGGGACCTCAGAGATGAGAGTGGAAATAAATACACTGAACTGACAGTAGGGCTTTTTTGTTTTGTTTTGTTTTTATAGGAAAATCTCTTTTTTAACCCAGAGGAAGCAGTGGTGGAAAGAGTTTTAAATGTTAGCTTGATCCCATTGCACTGCAGAAGTAACCCAGCACAAGCAGACAAAAGCATTTTGAACAACAACCCAGTATTTATGGCAAAAGGTGTTTTTTTGTTTCTTTGTTTTTTTCTAGCACAACAGTGGAGTTAAGTGAATATTGTTGAAATAAAATAATATATATTTTGAAGCTCCAATGATGTTACAAACACTGTGTTAGACTATTAAAAAAGTATCTGGAAAAGTCCAATTACTTGTCCCTGTTTGCCTCTTTGGTTTACCCGAATGCAACATGCACGAACTTAGAGACAAACCCACTAAATTTCTTTTGTCAGTCTTGGGGGTTTGTATGGCTGGAGTTGGAGTGGGTGGGCTGCTACCAAAATGGTTCATTGCCTTTTAAGCAAATTCCAATCCACATCTTTTTTGAGTCTAAAATAGTGTGGATTTAGTGATCTTTTAGCCCACTGGAAAACAGGGCTTCCTTCAGTCCAACCTGGAGTTTGTTATGCTGTAATTGTTGGACAAACTGATTTTTCCTCCTCCCTATAATAATCTGTGATGTTGTAAACCATAGCCAGATTAAATGTGAATTATATCCACACCCAAAAGGCTGAAATGGAATTAATTGCCAGTGACTGAAAGAGTTTGTGAGCAGCATAGGCCTCGAAGGCAGATCTGGGAGTCCTAGAGTGATACAGGATCTGAGGGCAAGGGCTGTGAGGAGCAGCTGAGGTCCTTGGGGGTCCCTTCCAACTTGGGATATTCTGTGTTTCTGGTAAACATTATGGTAGCAGGAACCAAAGCAAAATGGAACAAACTGGCCTCATCTCCTTCATCTGGCTGGATTCCTGCTGCTCTCCATTCAATTATGTGATGCTCATTAGGATCGTAGGCAAGGCGATAGGTGGAATTGCTGCATTTTATCACAGAATCATAGTGTAAAGATCATAGAGCTCCAACTCCTCTGCTGGGGGCTCGTTGCCTCCTACCAGTTCAGGCTTCCCAGGGTCCCATCCAGCCTGGCCTTGAGCATCCCCCATCCTTGAGGGATGGGGCACCCGCAGCTCTCTGGGCACATTATGAAACGGCGCATGCAATTAATTAATATGGGAGCTGGCAGCAGCACACCACAGCAGGGTGCTATAAATATTGCACATAAATTGCTGCTTCCAGCTGTGCTGATAGTGGTTGGAGCAGAGAAAAGGTGCAGCGGTTGTATCAATCGTGAGCACAGTGGGAGCAATCACACAGCTGATGTGGGCCATTTGTGTCTCTGCTTGGCTCCTACCTGCACGTAAGGGGTGTTGGGCTGGACCCTTGAGCAGAAATGGACCAAGTTGCTGGCTGGATCATGGAAGTAATGATGGTATTGCAGCTGATGTAAGGTAACTGCCAATTCTCAAACACAAAGATCTGTCCAGATTATCCCACCAACTGGAGGTCCCTGCCTCCAGCCTGACCCGATGGTGACACTTCAGCATTGCAGTGTGGTCCTGGGTGCTGCATGAGAGCTCTCTGCTCCTTGACCACCAGCTGCCAGCAGCTCCTCATCTCCCATATGGTGTAGGGCCTTCAGGACCAGAGCCCACATGCTGGGGAGGCATGATTAGCACATGATTGGTGAGGCACTGGCACACTGCCTAGAGAAGTCATGGATGCCACATCTTTGGAGATACCTAAGGGGCTCTGAGCACCTGATGGAGCTGTGGGTGTCATCTCTCTTCATTGCCGGGGAATTGGAGCAGATGGCCTTTAAGGGCTTCGATGATTGTGATGTTTGTTCTTTCCTCCTAAAAACTGTTTTAAATTCCATGAAAGAAATAGCAATGGCTCTGCAGTGCTTTTCTCTACCACCATCCAATTGCACACACTGATCAAGGACACCTCCAATGGTGCTGTTGGCTGTTTATTTGGAATCATCAGTCAGGCTGGAAATGGAGTAAAGCTTTAAAACCACATCTTCTGTTTTTTTAAACATAGGTTTTTCCTCCTTGCTTATACAGTTGCATCCCTTCACCCCTCTTACTCACATTTCCCTCTCCACTCTGATTGAGCTCAATGTGGAACCAGCATCCTCAGCCCACGGACATCACAGGGATGGAGCTCTCCACTGGGACATGCTCTGGTCATCATCCTCCAAACCCTCCTGGCTTCATCAAGGCTCTGCTCTGCGGGCAGGTGCACTCATGCTTACCCCCACCCAGGGCCAAGTGAGATTGGAGATGCAAAGTCTTGTTGGGCAGTCAAAATCAAAAGCTGCACCTAGCCCCAAATCTCATCATCTTTTTGAAATAGAACAGCTAATAAATACACTCTACATATGTATGAGCATCTTTCTCCCCCTCCCCCCCAACCCTGGTTCTTAGCTGTTTTACCTGCATTAGGCTGTGCATGTTAAGCTACAATTGATTCTCATTGGAACCTTGGTGAGAAGGTTCTTAGCTGGCCAGTTGCACTCCATGGGCTACCCCAGCACACATCTGGCTACTCCATTCCCTTCCCCTGACTCCAAGGCACTCCGTCCATCCCCCCAGGGCTTTCCCCTTCTCACCCCATCCAGAATTCACATAACAGCTGCAAGTTGCCCCTGTCTTACCTAAATCTTAACTTCTACAAATGGAGGAGGATTGCAATCTTGCAGATGTGGCAAACTGCAAAAGGGTGAGGAAAGAAGAGGCTACAATGCAGTTTTGACCACTTGTCTTCACAGCTATCAGCAATAAAGTGTCCAAAAGAAGCAAAAACTTAATGCAAAGCCATTCCTGCAAAATATTTTGCCATTCCCTGAATATAGGGTGCTGGAATAACTGCATTGGAGCTTGGCCTGATTGAGATGTTGGGTTGGGTTTGTTGAGCCAATGTCTGTGCTTCTTCCCTGAATTTCCTAAGAGAGAAGGGTTGGTCCCAAAGTCGTTGGATGCCAGGTGGCCCCTGCGGTCTCAGAAGAGTCCACACTGCTTCTTCTCATTCTGCTGTTTCCATTTGGGCATCTGGTAGAACTCGTGTTTGGACTTCCCAAAGATCTCGTGGAAATCAGCATCAGACAGATAGTACTGCAGCAGGAAGAGAGAGCAAGAGGAGATCAGTTTTGGCTTAGGCAAAGGGCTGGGGCATCCCCATTCAGCCACATCCCTTCCTCACCCTGTCAGAGCTGAGCCCTGACCCCAGGCGAACAGCTCCTGCCCTGCTCTCTGTCTTCATGGTGGGAAATGGAATGTCCCATCCTGGCAACTGTTCCTACTTTCCAGAATACCAGAGGAATAATAGCCCAAGAAAATGCCTTGGTTTTGAGAGGTTAGCATGCTCTGGTCCGAGTTTGGTCCCTGCTAATCATACTCAAGCCAAGGCAATTAACACTGCTTCTGAGAAATTCTGTTGGCTTGCTTTGAGTGGTTTCTCAAGCCAGCAATTAACAGTGAAAGCATCTCCCCTTGACTTATTTCCCCCCAAATATTCCACTCAAAATGTTCACTCTCATTTCTGGAAAGACAAAACATTTTGTAGATAGTAGACAAAGAAAGACCCTCTGGGACATGGAAGTTAAATCTTCTCTGGCATTTTGGGTAAAAGAAAAGACCTGTAGAGCTCAGCTGACATGCAATCCTTTCTACAAGGGCATTGCTGCAGTGCAGAGCTGCTGGCCCAGTAGATCAGCCCTCTGGCTCCAAGTGTAGATCAGGAGATCAGCTGGGGCTGGTAAGAAACTGGTCAAACACGGGTTGTTGAGAATAGGAAACAGCCCTGTGTTCCTCCCATCAGCTTGCTTGCACTCAGCCACAGATGTTGGCAAAATTAACTTTTTGTCCACAAGGAAAAAAAAAGAAAGGAATATTTTAACTACAGTAAAACTACCACAGTTTCCTCTCATTTCTTCATGAGACCTCGGTGTCCAGCTGGCCTCTCCTTGAGCCTGAGGTAGGACTAAATAAAGTGACATGCTGCCACACGTAGCCTACAACTAAGTTCCTGAGTAATCTAGAAGGCCATAAAACCAGCAGTGCTGTCACCTCTTTTTTAGTGGGATCCACTCCTTCTGGAAGTTCATCCACAGTCTTGTTCATCAGCATCTCTCGGGAGTAAACTCCCTGGTCATTGGGCACTGTGAAAGGGCTGCCATTGGCACTGCTGTTGGCGTAGCTGCTGCTGTCATCGTGGTTGAAGTGAGATTTGTACTCCGGGGAAGCACTTGATGTGCTTGAACTAGCCAGATTGGTCATGCTGAGGGTTCTTTTGCTCAGGCTGATGTTGTTCAGGTCCTGCAAAATGGAGGAGAAATGTCAAGAGAAACAGCTCTAGTGGAGCAAACTAGGGGCTACCTCTGCATCTTTCCGTTGGAGCTGAAGGGACTGTTCTGGCACAGGCTATCTGCTTGTCTGCTGCTTTGGAGAGCCACACAGCAAGGAGAAAGATAACACTAGAACAACAGTCCAGCACTTCCATCAGTATTACATCAAGATGTTAGGACTGTTAAAAACACAACCCTGTTGGGAGCCCTTAGAAATAACAGAAGATACTTAAGGTAGTCTCATTTTTCTCAAGATAATGGCAGGGAAAGATGCATGTGGGAAGAGAGCACAGAAGGTAAGATCAGATATGACCATGTCTAAAGCTTCTAAATTAGCTGCATATTTATACCCATGCTGCCATCTCTCCCATTTAAAGCCCTTCCACTACTTTCCAGCCTTCCTCCTGCTATTGTCCAGGGCAGAACTGATCCCATATGACTGCTATGTTTGGAACCTTTGGGATGCTGTGCTCTCTTTCTGGCACCTCCCGTTGGGTTGTGCTCTTCTTGACCAGCGGCCCCACATCAGGGGTCTCAGGTGATACAGCTCCGAAAACTGCTCATACAACTCTTAATTGCATACATTGTATTTATGGGTTATTAATGACATTTCCCTCTGCTTTCCACTGAGGAAAACGCCTCTGATCCTGACAGCTTGAGGTCCTCACGCCTACTCTGATCGCTACGGCCTCTCCTTCATGCAAACAGGTAGGGGGACGTGGTGATGTTTAAGCTCAGGTATTTCCCAGCTGTCTGGTCCAGTAGTCACTCACCACTGTGATCTCAGATAGAGCTGACACATCTCCTAAGCTGTTCTTCATCTCCTCATATGATTTGCCATCCTGAAAGTAAAGAGAGCTTTGAGAAGGTTGGGCAGCATTAGGTAGCACGTGTTCCTGGGCTCTGAGATCAGCAGATCACCCAGAGATGACCATGCATTTGGGGTCTCCCTTAATCCCCAG